ACTTCCCGACGTTGCTTGAAGCGCCTCCACCATAGACTTTGCATGTAAACCTGCTGCTCCTGACGCTGAAATCGCGTTTGGTGTGAACGCACCATCAGTGCTGATGATGCTCCAGCAGGTGATGCAGAATCAACCTGCTCTTCTTGAACAAGGGTCTAATAATTTCCTGCTTTATAGTGGTTCAAAGGACCAATTACAGCATTTACCAGCAATTACCATTGATTACTTTCAAACAAAAAAAAAACTAATTAAAAATGTAATGTGACATGAATGCAATTTGTAGTGGAGTAGAATTGCTGATACTTAATGTAAAATGTAGTGGAGTAAAAGTCGAATTATGAACAATGTACAGGGGTTAGAAAATGAAAGTGAAACCCCTGGTTTTAGACCATTTCCCTTTCAGACAGCTTCCTCTTGCGTCCACAGTTAATCCTGTTGGATGTGGTTGGTCCTTCTTGGTGGTATGCTGACATTACCCCTGTACATCCCACCACTGTTTTACATAGCTACTTTTAGCTGTACTAAAAGTAGCGAACACTAATGCTAAGCTAACCTAATGCTAGTTTAGGCTTTTTACTTTGACTTCACTTTAACAACTCAGTTTCAGCTTCTTCAACAAATGTAGGCAAAAGAATTCCAGAATCAGTGTGCATGCTGCATCTATTTCTGCTGCAGTGCTACCTTTTCCAGTAAATGCTTATAGTCTGGGGCTGAGGTAGAGAAAACTGTTTCACTTTCATTGTAACAGACACAAAGTGAAAGAACTGAGAGTAGGTGTGGTTTACTGCAGACTGTGAAGCTATATAAACATTCTCACAGAAAACATCCTGCAGTCTTCACTCCAGCTGCAGCAGCAGAACGGCTCCTTTATCAAATCAACGTGGGGAAACAAGTTCACGCCACACCAGGCAAGCAGCTTCAATATCTGTTTTCATGTTTTATTGGTGAAGTCTGGCATGCTGATAATTTTAGAGTCAAGTCTGAACAGACTGTTAAACATATTTTTTTTCATTCTGAGAAGATTTATCTGTCAAAACACTTTATTCCTAAATGATTTGTAGGTCAAAGTTAGTTTGGTGTACATATATAAGCAAAAATTAGGAAAAGAAAAAGCATTCTTTTTTAGAAGAGCAAGCTTTAGAAAGTTTGAATCAATTACTATCACTACTTTTCCAGAATCAATGGTTGGAAACTAAATTTGTGATGCAAATGTTCTACTTTCATCTTCTTTTTTAAAAGCTAACCTTGATTTAAAATCAGTCTCTAGACCTAAATTTTAAAACTTGGGGATCATTTAAATAAAAGGTGGATCACTGAAAAAAAAACATTATTTGTGATTCAGTTTGACTGAGGGGTCAATTCAGAGRTCATTTTGAACCAAGGGCAGCTGGTAAATGGTAAATGGACTGAACTTGTATAGTGCTTTATGAAGTCCCTCCAGACCCCAAAGCACTATACTTGCAGATCTTCACCCGTTCACAAACTCATGGTGGTAAACTATTAGCACCTTTACCTATACACTGCAAAAACTGTGTCTGTCTTACCAAGTTTTAAAATCTCTTATCCAGTCAAAAAGTCTTTTTGATCTTGTTTTGAGACTGATTTACTAAACAAGAACTGATTGTGTAAGAATAATCATCTTGTTTTCAGAATGTGTAAGATTATTTGTCTTGTTAGCCTGAAAATTTGACTCAAATTAAGTCAAACATTTCTGCCAATGGAGTAAGAACATTTTACTTGGTAAGATTCTTGAAATAAGAAAAAAATGAGTCAAATCAAGTATTTCAAGAATCTTACCAAGTAAATATTTCTTACTCCACTGGCAGAAATTTTTTACTTAATTTGAGTCAATTTTTTAGACTAACAAGACAAATAATCTTACACATTCTGAAAACAAGATTATTATTCTTACACAATCAGTTCTGGTTTAGTAAATCAGTCTCAAAACAAGATCTTTTTGGCTGGATATAAGATTTTAAAACTTGGTAAGATGGACATTTTTTGCATATACCTTTAGACTGTAGACACAGCTGCCCTTATTCTGACTCAAACCTTCTTCTTCCACAGGAACGATGCTGACAAACAACAATGAACTGAGGATCGTGATGGTGGGAAAGACCGGGATTGGGAAGAGCGCCACCGGAAACACYATTCTGGGCCGAGATTGCTTCCAGTCCAGGTGCAGTCCCAAGTCCTTAACGGAGGAGTGTGACAAAGGCCGGACTAAGGTGGAGGGACAGAAGGTGGCCGTCATCGATACTCCAGGTCTGCTGGACACCAGGTTTGATGAGAAGAAAACAACCAAAGATCTGAGTCAGTGCATCAATTTTGCTTCTCCTGGACCCCACGCCTTCCTGGTGGTCATCTCACTGACCAGATTCACCGAGGAGGAGAAGCAGACGGTGAAAAAAATCCAACAATTCTTTGGACAGGCTGCAGACAAATACAGCATGGTCCTCTTTACTCATGGAGACAACCTGGTAGGAACAACCATAGAGGAGTATTTGTCTGAGAGTCCAGAGCTGCAGGAGCTGGTGGACAGGTGTAACGGTCAGTACCACGTCTTCAACAACAGGCTGGAGGACAAGAAGCCTCAGGTCCTCCAGCTCCTGCAGAAGATCAGAGACATCGTTGAGAAGAACGGAGGAAGCCACTACACCCACAAGATGTTCCAGGAGGCTGAGAAGGCGATCGAAGAGGAGAAACAACGAATCCTGAAGGAGCAGGAGGAGAAAATCCGCAAAGAGAAAGAAAAAGCAGAGCGCGAGGTGAGGGAAAGATACGAAAAGGAAATGCAGAAAATGAACGAGATGATCCAGGCTGACAGAGAGAGAGAGAGGAGGGAGAGAGAGGAGGAGAGGAAGAGGGAGAGGGAGCAGATGAATGAAGAGAAGAGGAGGGAGTGGGAGAGGATGAAGGAGGAAAGAGAGAGAGAAAGGTTGGAGAGACAGAAAGAAATGGAAGACATGARGAATGAACTACAGGAGAAGCAAGAAAGAGAAATCAAAGAACAAAAACAGCGTCTGCAGTCCCAGTTTGAAGAGAAAGCTCGAGTYAAAGCTGAGAAAGTTGGGTTTTGGGGAAGAATTGGGAGATTTTGTAATCGTCTTGGAGAGGCAGTTGTGGAAGTGTTTACTTGATTCTGTACAAAACCTGAMGTTTTGTTGACAGAAAAGTAGTTTGATTTAAAATAGAATAAATATCAATATGCTGTGATGTCATTTAGTTTCATTTTTAAAATGGATGCGTGATCTAAACTGAGTTCACAGAAGAAGTCTTCTGCCTTTTATAAAGTTTTAAGTTTCTTATCTGTTGTTTTTATTTGTATAAATTCTGTTTAATTGTTTAAAATGTTCAAGTTCTCATTTGAAAACTGTGTTCTCTGTTTTTAATGGACTTTATGATGACATTTCACACAAAAGTTTGTATTTTGTATGTGTAGACTTTTTTTGCTTTGTTTATTGCATTTCGTCTGCATCAGTCTTATCTGTACTGATCAGTTTCTACCATGTCAACCTGTGCTGAGCTGCAGAAAAATAAARATGCAAGTTTTCACCTAAACCTCTGTCAGTGATTAATGTTATCAGAACAAGGAGAAAACTTTGACGTTTTAAAGAGCAGGCAAAGGTGTGAGGAGAAAATCTATAAATGTAGTTTTATTAATCCATCCTTTAATCTGCAGGTGATGACAGCTGGGGACAGGTGAGAGTGGGCGGGGCAGGATAATTATCACACAATCATTTTATGGGCTGTGATCAAATAGTTTTTAACAAGTCTAAATAAATTAMAGTTTGAGAATCTTTGTGAACAAAACTTCATCTTATCCCTGTATCTGAAATGCTCAATTATTAAACTTAGATTAATAAAAATTGTACATATTTACAATAAATCCATAAAATATCAAAAAAAATAATGACCACAATCTTTATTTGCTCTGTGGCTGCTGCTGCTGCTGCTGCTGCTGCTGCTGCTGTCGCTCCCATTAACACACAGGAAATGAAAAATTATATATTTTGTTTTTGAGATTTTAAAAGTTTCCATCATACAGACAGTCTAACACCTATTCCTGTTTTAATCTGAACACAGAGTTGTAAAGTAACTAAGTACAAATACTTTGTTACNAGATAAGATAAGATAAGATAAGATAAGATAAGATAAGATAAGATAAGATAAGATAAGATAAGATAAGATAAGATAGAACTTTATTGATCCCACAGTGGGGAAATTTGATCATAACAGCAGCTCAAAACAGTGGAGTTACAGTAACAGGCAGCCTGCCGTCGTGCCAACTTAGAAACAAAGAAAAACTGGAAAACACACAAGGGAAGGGAAGGTGAGGAAAAAAGCAAAAACATCATATTAAATCAACACTGTGACACACTATGGTGTTTATGAAAAAACCTCCGCATAGAGCAAGTTTATTAGCCAGAGGAGTAAGTGAGTTTAAGGGGCCCCGAAGAATCCAGTCCCCAAAACCAGCGCAGTCATAGTTCAGAAATATTGATGGAACTGTTCATTTCTGTGCAGCTTTCAGCCTGCTCTCGGAAACAGAATTAGACGGGCCGGGGGGGCAGCCAGCCAGGAAGAATTTAGTCAACAGATCCAAGGCCGTTGTCAGGGTGATCCAGATTCTGTAATCAGTTGTTTTGGGAACAGAAGAGACAAGCAGATGACAACAATTTTCCATCTGCTTTAGAGTTTCTGCTGGTACTCTCAAGGTTGGCGACCCCAATCAGGCAAAATGGTGTTGACAATATTCAGCCGAGCCAAATCTATCAGCTTCCTCCCAGATCAATTCCATCTGGCCAGCAAAGTCCAGGGACCACAGCCGGCCCGCTACCCTCAATAGAACCGCTTGCAGACCGAGTCCGGCTCGCTCAAGGCAAAATGTCCGAGTTCTGATAGAATACGGCCACCCATCGAATTGGTCAGTCTGCCAGGAGATGAACAGCCACCGATGCTGATTTGYAGAAGACTAGGAGACCACCCAGCCAATCCATAGAATCCAGTGATCGGAGTCCAGACATAAATCCAGAACAGAGAAGAACAGAGGTCCCACCTTTAACATGTCCTCCCATGGAAGAACAAAAAACTTTGTTCCAAGAATTTTATTGACAGACCAGCTAACCAAATCCATAAAAATAAAAATATCCATGATTTCTTATTTCGGATGAAAAATGTAGAGAAGGCTCCTGTAGTAAAGCAGGGAAAGATAAGTTAAGGTAAGATAATTATGGCTCACAATAGCATTCAAAACATTTTTCCAAAGGGAGGTAAGGCAACGTTATTTATAGAACATAGATGAATTATGTAATATCTACATTAAGCACCAAGTTTGTGCCCACAATAACATAAATGTAATTATTTGCAGTATTGAAAACAAGGCTAAAATCCCTTCTAGAAACCATGAACCCAAAAAAAATGTATATTCTGCCCCCAGCACTAAGGACATGGGGCTTAGGAAGTTAATAAAGTGAAAAATAATATTTATATAAACCTATAAATGTGCACATTTATGCTGCAGTTTCAGGGGGTTCATTTCTTCCATCAATCTGCTGATTCCTGTAAAAGCTGAAGGTGGGGGCAGAGGAAACAGAAAGTGAAAGTGCTTCTGTGTGTGTGKGGGGGGGGGGGGGGGGTGAGGCTATAAAAGTACCTGCTTTGCTGCAGCATCAGCAGCAGAATGTTGGCCTCATACAAAGCAAACAGCTTTGGTGAGTAAAAACTAATTGATGAATTCAGTCTGACACAAAAAACAAACATTTGTTTACAGGTTTATGATGTTGCATGCTGCCAGTTTAGTTCAGTTTAAAAAGCCTTTTTCTCTGAGTTCTTCTGTCAGCCTGAAGCAAACTTGTCTTTGTGGACTCAGCTCTGTTGTCACTGTTCTTTTATTTAAAGGGACAACCCGGAAAGATTACAAAGAAAGAAAATAATAATTTATAATAATGATAGGGAATGTTGCATGTGTGAATCTCAAAGCACTACATTTGAAGAATCCAAAACTTGTAATCCTTTTTAGAAGGATTCTGCAGTCTGTGGTTCCCTTAGGTGGTCTGGAAGTTACAGACGAGGAGCAGCAGAGCAAAAGGCTCGGTCTCCTGTCGTGATCAGTTTCTGTCTGGGAATCTGAAGGTGTTGGAATAGGAAGAAGAACAGGTTTTGATATGTAGAAAGAGCAACTCTTTAGGGTAAAACCAAAGTAAGAAACAAGAAAAAAATCCTTCTATGATCTGAGATGCTGTTTTCAGGAAACAAATCTTTAGGAATCATCTTTTTGAAGCCAAATAAAGAGTTTTATTATATTTTTCTATTGATTTAATGAGACAAAACTTTTTAAAAGCTGGTAGATGATATCAGTTGAGATGTTAGTGTCAGTATTTATAGTAGTTACATGTTTAACCCACTGGGATCAGATTATAGATAAAGTTGCTTCTTTGTTTGTTTCAAATCAGACATTGTTCAGAAGACAAAGTCTCTAATCTGTCACAGTCTGGATTCTGTGTAGGTCATCTGATAAAACGCCCAAAGGGCAGAACACGGAGATTCTATTGATTTTTATTCTGTTTATTGTTTCTTTTCCCAGGATCCACCCTGACAAACAACAATGAGGTGAGGATCGTGATGGTGGGGAAGACTGGGACAGGGAAGAGCGCCACCGGGAACACCATTCTGGGTCGAGAGTGCTTCCAGTCCAAGTGCAGTCCCAAGTCTCTGACTGTGTTCTGCACTAAAGGCCACGCTGAGATCAGTCAGCAACAAGTCGCCGTCATCGACACCCCGGGGTTTTTCGACACCAGGCACGACAAGGACAAAACAACCAAAGATCTGGGCCAGTGCATCAAATATGCTGCTCCTGGACCCCACATCTTCCTGGTGATCATCTCACTGACCAGATTCACCGAGGAGGAGAAGCAGACGGTGCAAAAGATCCAGGAAGTGTTTGGACAGGCTGCAGACAGGTACAGCATGGTCCTCTTTACTCATGGAGACAACCTGGAAGGAACCACCATTGAAAACTTCCTGTCTGACAGTCCAGATCTACAGGAGCTCGTGGCCAGATGTAATGGTCAGTACCACGTCTTCAACAACAAGCTGAAAGGTGAAAACTCTCAGGTTGCCGATCTCCTCCAGAAGATCAGAGACATCGTCCAGAAGAACGGAGGAAGCCACTACACCAACGATATGTTCCAGGAGGCTGAGAGGGCGATCGAAGAGCAGAAACAACGAATCCTGAAAGAGAAAGAGGAGAAAATACGCAGAGAGAAAGAAGAACTGGAGAGAAGGATAGAGGCCAAATATGCAACAGAAATGCAGAAAATACAACAGATCCTCCAGGCTGAGAGAGAGAGGGAGAGGAAGGAGAGAGAGGAGGTGAGGAAGAAGGACAGGGAGGAGATGAGGAGGGAGAGGGAGTGTTTGGATGAAGAGAGAAAGAGGGAGTGGCAGAGAATCGATGAAGAGAAGCAGAGAGAAAGAGAAAACAGCCAAAAGCAGATGATGGAGATGTTGAATTGCTTACAGGAACAGAGAGAACGAGACCTCAGAGAGCAACAAGAAAAGCTGAAGAGATATTATGAAGAGAAAGCCAGAAAAGAAGCTGAAGAGGGAAGCTGGTGTACCATTCTGTGATCTGGTTTGCTTCTGTTGTCTTTGCTGTTATTTCTTCAACATTCTAGATGTCAGCTGCTTTTACTTCTCTGTGTTTTCAGTCTGATTTTTCTGCTTCTTTTTTTGGTTTGTTGCAAAAGTATTTTAATCCAACTGCTTTCAATCTGAAAACCAAACTGTGGTCCTAAACACATTAACATGTTCTATCACCTGTTTAAATCTGTAAAACACTTGTTGTTAATAATAATAAAGATCACGTTAAAATTATACATTGTTGTCTGGAATTCTGGGAATCCAACATTGTTTTTGTATTTTGTTACGACAGCATTAGGAGGAATGAGTTACTTATGCAAATAAGTTCCCTACATCTTCTCATAACTAAGTTATGAGAGTAAATTTTACCAAGGTTTTCCTCATTACTTTAATATTTGTCTGTGCAAAGTGAAGTGACACAATGAGGGAACGTCAGACAAGTTCAAGTTGATTCATAAAAGATTATGCAATCATTTATTTACACNAATACTGTTTTTTATTATGTGAAGACTTCTTTTTTCCTCACCAAAAAGAAGAGCTCTGTACTTTCTGTTACCTAGTATTTATTCTAATGATATTTATTATAAAATATGTTGCTTCTTGTAAATGCAAAAGGAAAGGAGAGCATGAGGAAACAGTTTCATTTTTGTTTTGACAAAGCGGTAGAGCGGTGCTGGGGTGTGGTTTGCTGCAGGCTGGGGGGATATAAAAAGCCTCCTGCAGGAAACTTCATCACTTCAACATCAACAAGACTCTTTACTGTAACACCACTGGACAGAAACAAGTTCTCGTACCAGGAAAACAGCTCCGGTAAATTATGATTTTTATGTTCCACACTGATGAATCTAATCTGACTAAATTATTTTACCACAGCAAAAACTTCTATAAACCTGTTACTGTAAACTGTTTTAACTCTTATTTATCATGTATGTTGATAATATGCTGTAAAAATTGTGACACTTATCTCCTGCAGCGGCTGAACTCCTGAGCAGGGGCGGAGCTAGACTAGTTTTTCCAGGGGTGGCCATGGTGGTTTTTAGGGGTGGGGGGACAAATAAGTTTAGATTTTAAAATTCAAGATGGTCACAACAGCTAATTCAGCTGTTTTAAAAAAAATATAAAATCCTGTAAAAAATCTTGCTGATTGCTAGTCCCAATTAATGCTAACCACTAATGTTAAATATACAAAGAGCTATACCTCAGCCATTTTTAGACATACAAAGCTGAAGATTAATGAAGAAGTAGCCAAAACAATCTTTGTAAAATTCTTAATACTAACTAAAAAGTCAGGATTGGCCAGCACAGAAAACATTAAATGGTTATAAGTCAGCCATTTTATGACTAAATGAACTGAAATTTGTTGTGGTGTAGCTAAGAATAATCCCAAACACATGCCAACTGCTAATCCCAACTAAGATAACTGCTAATGCTAATCTTAATTTTACAAGAAGCTATATTTTGGGCATTTTTGAACAAACAYAGCTGAAAATTAGAGCAGTAGTTGTAGRGAAGCAATAACAAAATCAGAATTCTAACAAAATCCAAGATTGCCAGTGAAGTTAATTTTGAATAGCTTTAACTCAGCCATTATTAGAAATAATAAGCTAACATTTGGTAAGGTGGTAGCCAAGAGCAATCTCCATGGCATTATGAAAGCTAATCTAAATTTTAAACTACAGGCCAATACTTATTTGAGAAGGAGCTATATTTCAGACAATTTCAGAYGCATAAAGCTGATAATTGGCACACTAGCAAATGACAACACTCTTCAGCAAATTCTGAATGCTAATGTATATTCAAATGGCTACAATGGAGTTTTTTCAGACATAYTGAGCAGAAATTTGGTTCTATGGAGGCTGTGAACACTAACACATAGTACAGTCAAATAGTAAATTAAAAATAGTGACTAACTGGCACTAGTTGTCAAAGTTTCTAAAGGAACTTTTCTGGTTGCTCCATTTTTATCTTACAGAATAACCTCTAGATGGAACCAAAGTTTTATTAACTGGTTCTAAAGCTCAGAACTATTACACATAGTTGTTTTATATTAATTGGTTCAAAAACTGTTGTTTTTTTATTCATACTCTGATTTGTTCCCTCTGCAACAAACAATACAGCTGTTTCACAGATATTTACATCTATTACATTCAAACTATCCATCTTTGAAATRCCACATGCGATCCTTGTCAGTGTTGCAGGGGTGGCACCTGGGGTGGCCAATCAGGTGCCCAGCCACCCTCTCTGGCTCCTCCCCTGCTCCTCTGTACAACATGATTACAGGTTTTTATTCTGTCTCAAACCTTCTGCTTCCTCAGGAACGATGCTAACAAACAACAGTGAGGTGAGGATTGTGATGGTGGGGAAGACCGGGATTGGAAAGAGCGCCACCGGAAACACCATTCTGGGTCGAGACTACTTCCAGTCCAAGTGCAGTCCCATGTCTTTAACCATGTTCTGTGCTAAAGGCCGGACTGTGATAGATGGACAGACGGTCGCCGTCATCGACACACCTGGGTTTTTTGACACCAGGTTTGAGGAGGAGAAAATAACCAAAAATCTGAGTCAGTGCATCAAATATGCTGCTCCTGGACCCCACGTCTTCCTGGTGGTCATCTCACTGACCAGATTCACCGAGGAGGAGAAGCAGACGGTGAAACAGATCCAGGAAGTGTTTGGACAGGCTGCAGACAGATACAGCATGGTCCTCTTTACTCATGGAGACAACCTGGAAGGAACCACCATTGAAAGGTTCCTGTCTGACAGTCCAGAGCTKCAGGAGGTGGTGAGCAGGTGTAACGGTCAGTACCACGTCTTCAACAACAAGCTGGAGGATGACAACTCTCAGGTCCTCCAGCTCCTTCAGAAGATCAGAGGCATCGTTGAGAAGAACGGGGGAAGCCACTACACCAACGAGATGTTCCAGGAGGCTGAGAGGGCGATCGAAGAGGAGAAACAACGAATCCTGARGGAGAAAGAGGAGAAAATAYGCAGAGAGAGACAAGAACTGGAGAAAGAGATAAAGGAAAAATATGAAAAAGAAATGCAGCAAATKAAAGAAATGATCCAGACTGAGAGAGAGAAGGAGAAGAGGGAGAGGGAGGAGGAGTTGGAGAGGGAGAGRGAGGAGATGAACGAAGAGAKGAGGAGGGAGTGGGAAAGGATGAAGGTGGAGAGAGCGAGAGAAATGGAGGAGAGAGAGAAAGAAATGAYAAATATGATGAATGAACTAAAGGAGAAGCACGAGAGASAGATCAGAGAACAACGAGAGCAGCTGGARGCGCAGTTCACTGCTGCGGCTCGAGAAGAAGCTGAGACCACCAGTCCGTTCCAGTGGCTCTGGGATATTGCCAACTTTGTAATGAATGGAATCGGGTCRGCCCTCGCTTCCAAACTGATTAGGAAAGTCGAAGGGTTGTGAGCAGGTGATCAAAGCTGATCGAAGAAAAGTATTGTTTCAAAAGCAAAAATCCTTTTCTAAACAGAGTGGGACAAAAAAACAGTTTGGAATAAATGTTTAAGATGCTGATGAAACAGAAGACAATTCTGTGATTCATGAAACTGTTGAAAGTTTAGTAACAACACTATTAGATGCAGTGTCTGTTTTAGTTTAGTAGTTTTGTTTGATTCCCTTTTGTTTTATTTAGCTTTAATAGAATCAACATTACTGTTTGTCAGGTTTTCTTATGTTTCTTAGAGTTCTTCATTTGTTTGCTCACAGATTATGGATTTGTTGTGTTATCTAATGTGTCCTCCTGTTCTGAGCTGTACCAGAAATAAAGATGTTTGTTGCACTTAAACTTTTGTCAAAGTTAATTGTAGATTGTTGCCATTTCTACAATAAAAGTCATAAAAAGACGCATTAAATCATGATCACTATGTGTTTAATCCAACAAATGTCAACAAAATACACATGAAACAACTTATAGAGAACTAAGAAACTAAAATGCTCCAAGTGCTGCCAGTTGTTCTGAAAGGAGAAGAAAGAACTGAGTTATTTACAACAGAAAAAAAAACTGATCAACTCGCAGTTTTACTGAAATACAAAGCTTTTGAAACAACTATCTGATTTTATTATTAATCATGTGTGTTGTGGAATACTTATTTTCTGTATCACCTTGACACTGACCACTTGTTCCTGTTCCTGAAGATATGAAC